CTGGGGAATATCACGTGAACCTGGTACTATAACACAACTAGCTCGAATAACTAGTGGCTCAGAGGGGTATCTCAAATAACTTCTTTCTCCGAAATTAAAATATTTTAAATTCTGTTTTCTACTAATATGTTAAATATTGCCAACTGGCCTGGGATACAACTACATTGTCTAATCTACAAAAAAATTACGTTATGCAGAAGCAAAATCCGCGTAATGTTGACAATGCCACAACCACAGGCTTCTTCCATAAAACTCGTATTATAACAACTCATTAACTACACTATTATCGGTTGAGTTCTGGGTTTAAATATGAAGTGAGAAATAATTTACATAATTTGGATACCCTAGCACATTTGGAAACAAATGAGCACAGCTATATGAAACAAGACATAGAGAACAGTGGAATCTTGTCACATGCCATTCGAATACTGGTATACGCTTTGGTGTTATTTTTTATCATAAATGTTAAGCCATTTTCAGTTAATTGATTTTGATTTGTTTGGTTGTTCCTCAGCAAAACTCAGAAAGACTCCTATAGGCAGCTTTGTTTTTTGTCGTCCTCCATCTGTATCTCCACGGAGTAAATCAACATTAGATTAGAAATAAATTGGGACAAAGCATACAGTCCCGGGTTTGGGAAAACAAACAAAAGGAATGAACTGGTATTCGCCCTTTTCTATGATTCTAAAGAAAGCGCGATAAGTGCTTACTACCTTTATAATTTCTTTTTCTAAACGGCAGACGTAATATGGCTGGAGACGTTAATAAAATGATTATTTATGTAAAATAAAATACCCTTTAATTAGAAGACACAGATGGTCAGATTCTTTCCGTGAAAGCTTATTGTCTCTCGAGATTTTCTAAAAAAAAGTTCGCTGCCGTTTTTCTTTTTATTTTTGCAATGAACTGAATGGACCGGTGAAAGAGAAACCAAAGCACCCTAAAGCGCGACCGTCATACTGTCAGGTGACCAGAGTGACGTAACCCGCCGCGGTGACTTATAGCAGTTATGGCGCTCGACTGCTAATCCCGCAGGTCGCGGGGTCAAATCCCGGCAGCGGCGGAAGCATTTTCGACGGAGGCGAATAAGCCCGTGTACCTAGATTAGGTGCACGTTAGAGAACCCCAGCTGCATGGTCGACATTTCCGTAACCCCCCCCCCCCCCAAACGGCGTCTCTCATAATCGCATGGAGGTTTTGGGACGTCAAAAAACCCAACAGCTGTTATTACCGCAATGACGTCACTGTTTCAAACAACGATGTCAAACGTGTTAGTTCTTCTGCATTCATTAACCCGCGTGCTCCATGCACGCTACCACGCAAGGGCGGCCCGCACACACATAAAGTGCAGTGACGGTTTATGATAACGACGCTCATTTATTCTGGGCGTCTCAGAATATTGTGCTGCCAAGGCGCTTTTCAGCCTCGGCTTCACCGGTGAAATTGGTTCGATTTCATTGCTCCGCAAACATCACCACCGCGGCTGCTATTTTGGAAATCTGAAAGCGGAACTATGCTTATCCCATGAAGTCATTCTCCCACTTGACCCGACTGCCTGTCTTGCTAAAGGTTGATTAACTTCACTTATGTAGTTACTGCCGTAATTAATGCATCTCGCCATATTACGATGTCTTCTTAAACTTCGTTATAACGCGGATTTTTGTCAGGATGATGTCTGCCACCGCACAAAGCGCAATGGCGAAAGTCACGAGCAAATATCACAATTCCCTAATTTTGAGGGTTTTTGAACCAATTTATTGAAATAAGCGGTATGGCTTTCAACTCGAAACTTTCTAATTGCAAACATGTCTGCGTATACGTATTAGTTTTACATTTAGTAGGTTGCTGGTAGGTTGGGGGGGGGGGGGGGTTGCAGTGCTGTAATCATGCAAAGCAAAGAGATATGCCTGGGCAGATGCGAGCAGCGAAAGAAGGCTCACATGTGCTGCTTGCACACTTTGTCGGCCACGAGAGGGCGCAAGCATCACAGACAAGGTAAGACAAGGTAAAATGCCTCGATGCGCTCGTTCGTCTTGCACATCGAGACACTTCAAGAAAAGGAACCCCATTGATCACGGACATAGTTCAGCACATTTCAAAGTAATCGCTTTCACTTATGTCCCGGTTATAGCTCATCTTCTGACTGAGTTGAAGAGACGGGTTCAAAAAGAGTCAGATGATGTTTTAGCACTATATGCCAAAGAAGTTCTTTTCATTAAAACGTTTCACCTAGTTCAGACAGTTCACTTTTTATGTTCCTTTATTACCTTTGCAACAACAGACATATATGAATGAGTGTACCAAAACGAGAATGATAAAAATGAGGAGCTGAACGAATGGCAAACTTTCTGCGGACATTTCCTGTGGCAAGTTCCGTCCAGTCGCTGCTCTTCACTTATTGGTATATACACAAGTTCGTGCTTGCGTGCATGTGCACCTGTACAACTTTCCTTTTCATCCAGGTAAACAATATGCCAAGCAATGCTCGTGTTGTGTATGAGCAAAAGAGAAAGATGCGCATGGCAAGCAAAATGATGTGTATTAGATATCTTGTTTTGCACTGTTAAGTCAGCCATGACCTAAGTCATGATCGCAGAGCCATAGTAAATGTTTGCCTCACGACAAGAGGTTTTGTGTGTTTGCTCACGTTAGACAGACTTGCATCAGTGCGCTTCTCTCATTTTTTTTTTTATTCTTAGTCCTTCGTTTCTCGCTTCCCTGGCATTGCCAGACAAAACTTCGGTTCGGCGCATCCTCTATTTGCGAGCGAAGCCTTTCAGATAATCACTTTTGTGGTTGTTTGTTGCCCGCATTGGGCGCGCACGCAATGTTGCGCTACACAGAGCTGGATGCGGTGCCGTCGGCCTTCTCCCCTTCAGCGCTGACTTGCCCGGATGATTTTTCAGAAAGGGAATTTCCTGTGCGCTTTTCTCTTTTACCCCCCAAAAAACGGGAGGAAAGGGGACAGAAATGATGAACCCGAATGCGCGGGCATCCACCAAGGCTGCGAGGCTAGAGCGTCGCGGGTTCTTTCGTATCATGGCTCAGTTTTTTTTTTTTTCCCTCCCTTCCCCAGCCGCTCGAGCTCGCGCATTCTGACCCACAAGTTTGCAATCGGTATAGAGGCGAACTTTTGGAGTCGCCGAAGCATCTATTTTGGTCGCTCGCAAAAAGAAGCGCAGGACACCAAGAGAGAGAGAGAGGCTGGAGGGTCGCGCGGCCCGCCGCGCAGCTGCCTTGAAAGCGCGCGTCGCTTCAGCGTGATACTCTGAAGAAAAAAAAAAAAAAAGGGAAAACAAAAACCAGAGAGGTATCGGAGGACGAGGGATTTGGTCTCATTGCAAACGCAGAATTAGGCGAAAAAATGACCGAGAGCGTTGGAAAGCAGGAACTGGGCCACCCCTTTCCATTGTGCGCGCATTCGGGCTTTTGTCATGGAGACGACGCGCGTGCGCCACGCGCTCAGGTGCGCGCGCCGCGCCAGATGCGGAGGCGCTGCCGCCGCGTGTCCTCGCAGCGGCAAGGGTTGCGGCGCTCTCGCCTTTTTATTTCTTATTTTTCGCCACGCAGCCGCATTTTGAAGCGGATCGCGCGCAATGGCCGCAAAACGCGGGTGGGAAAGTCTCCCCGAAAAGCGGGAAAATTGCGACCCGACGGGCGTCCTGTATGTTTGCCACTTGCGCCGTGCTGCCCCGACCGATCCAAAGGGTTGCGAGAACCGGTGTTTGCACTGCCACCGCGAGCCTACAGTAGCGGGAACAGTTCCGATTCCACTCTCAGGTCACGAGAGGTGCCTTTCCGAGCAAGGAGTTCGCTGACGGGGCTTGAGTGCCTACCAAAACACTTTTGAATCGTACGTTCTCAATCATTCCCGTTATTTTTTTTTTGTTCTGGTGCTATAATATTCTCAAGACGCTACTTGCAGTAGAAGGAGACAATCTATGGATTTATTAAGAGATACACCGAAAAAATCTGTGGACTTCACATGCAGGTTGTCTTGCTTGTGCAATGACGCGCTAAAGGTATTATCGCTTGTGTCAAAGGAACCTCGCAATGTCCAGCGCCTCACTTTCAACAATAGCCTTTATGAGCAAGGTGCGCACCCTGTTTATAAGCAAACTTTATGTTACGATGCTCTCTCACCAGATTCCGTCCTCAAGACAGATTAAACATTTAGTATTATGCAAAGTATTGATGTCAGCAGTGACATAAATTCAGCGTCGAATGCCATACGTGTCTCTGAGGCACATTATGGACTGTACGTTGAAGCAGTTTGGTAAGTTGAACCACATTTTTGAAACGTGCACTGATCAATTAAGCCACACTATCAACTTTTATGCGCGAGCATTATAGATTCTCATTAGGTCCTGTAAAACTGTGCAAACCACCGAGTCAAGATTTAGTAAAAACCAACCCACACAAGAGTACCTCATGCTTCAGGACTGACTTCTTCAATGTTCAACGTTCATTAGCGCTGACCTCTTCAAGCCAAGCTCAAACCCGATTATGGAAGAAAAAAATGCTACCCGCATCTTCCCAGTAAATGCGTCGCAGAGTGGTGGGGGTGTCACGTGAGTGCTGCGTAATTGTGCATTGTTTGAGAATACTTAATTGTTATTTCGTATCTATTATTCTTCTTTATTGAAATGAAGGAGAAGCGTTGCCTTCAACGATTGGTGGGACGCTTATGTGCGATCCAGTGCTTACATATACGGGGTGACCTGCAGTGAACGGTTGTGCAGCTCGAGCAGTCGGTTTGCACTGTAGCAGACGCTGCCTGCCTCGGGCATGCGAGGCGGTAGAGAGGGGGTGGGGGAGCAAACAGTTGGCACGAGACGCAAGTACGCGGCACGATACGCGAGGCGCGAGCATGCGCAGTGGGGGTGCGGACATCGCCACCGACGCACGACGCGTGACATCGTGCGACTAAGAAATGCTCCGCGTTAAAAAAAAAAAAAGTTATGTTTTCTCTCTCAGAGTATCGTCAATGCACCTCTTACCTCGAGTTCTGCTTCCGCCTGCCGTTCGTGGCGCGCTCGGAATGCCCTCTGTTTCTCCTCGAAGTCTCGCAACCTTTGGTTGTAGCACTCGATCTGGTCTCGAAGCACGGCGTCTTCCAACTGAAACAGAAAGCGCAGGAGTCCTCTAGGAATCAAGCTTGTTTCTTATTATAGTGCATACTTGAGCAGCAATGAACGTAAGATGTTCGGAAGCGTGTGGCAATTAATGCATGCGGGGACATTGCAGTATAGGCATGACGATTGTTATAGCGCGAGAACAGAACGACGACAAAGGGACAAGCGAAGACAAGCGCTCGTCTTCTCTTGTCCCTTTGTCGTCGTCGTTCTGTTCCCGCGCATAACGATCGTGATGTTATACCAACTAGCACAAACCATCATGCTTCTAAGTTGCGGTATAGGATTTCTGTCAATTAAACTGGTAGAATATATATATATATATATAATTGAATGAAGGAGAAGCGTTGCCTTCAACGAGTGGTGGGACAAAGCATTCGGAGCGCGCATCTCTGGGTGTCATAACGAGTGCAGCTGCACAGGACCCGTCCACTTTGTTTAAACAAACAAGATTATATTAACTTGGACCTGTACCTCGAGGTCGCAAAAGGCAACAAAAGTGCTACTGAAATGTCTACAATCAAGTGATCTCAGTGTCCACCTGATAGACTGAATGTGGTCCCCCATATGTGCTTCTGATTATGCTCATCCATCTCTTTTCTTCTGTCTCTCTTTTCTCGCATTTATTCATTTCCCAAGTGCAGGGCAGCAAATTTGGTGGTAGTGGTTAGAAGAAGAAGAAGGCGCCTAATTTCTGCAGGCCGGTTGGGAGCAAGGCGCAGCGCCTGGTTAGTCTCGCTGCCTTTGTTTCTCCCCTTCCACTTCACTTTCCCTTTCCCCCAGCTTGTGGTAGGGTTCGGATGGCAAAAGTCCGGCTGGCTATATCTTAGCATGAAGTAGCCAGCCGGACTTGGTTGTCCTCCCTGCCTTCTCCATTTTGTTTTCCTTTTTCCTTCTTTATCTTCCCTGTCTCTCTCAGAAATAAATAAATGTTGAACTTTAAAAATGAAAAGAAGCAGCAAATTTTTGTAGAGCTGGTACAATGTATATAGCTGCTTGCTTAGTATATTATTGGACGTCACATTAGCGCACCATTGCCTAGAGAAATTACCTGTCATGAATGCGGGAAGCGTGGTGCAATTGGTGCTTTGAGCCACGGTTACGCCATTTTGATTGCATTTTCCTTGCATAAAAAGTGACTCACGAAGTTATAAAACAACTGCGAGAAATTAACAATTCATTCCATCTTCTCGCGTATATGGAGCGACAGTTTCCCGTGATGAGCAATGCTCTGTCATATTCCCACATGATTCCCCCTTACACGATCGCAAAGCTTCTCAAGCGATGATCTCTTATTCGTCCGCATTCGCTCGCGCAAGCAAGACGCCCGACAAGTATATGCAGCCCCCCTCTCTCTCCCGCAGACGGCAGCGGCCCGTCTGGCGTTGCCAGCCACTGACGGACGTGTTCATCAGTGGACGGCAGTTGCTAAGCGGCCACCGCCGCTAGCCGGCTGGCATGGGAAAAAAGTGCACGCTGATCTGGCTGCCGGGCGAGGCACACCGCGTTCGTGGCGGCAACCTGCAATTAAGACGTGCCGCTTGCGCAAGGGTTTGGCCGCAAAGAGAGTCGCGACACCAGCGCGCCCGCAGTGGCTGGCGTTCCCCCGCCGGCCCGACTGTAATTAGAACCGGGCACCTGTGGCTCGCTAAGATGGCCGGCCGCGCCCCGTCGCAGCGGGCCATTCCCACGCGGCCTCTGGCGGGCACGCTACCGTTCGCGGAGGCTATCGGAAGCACGACAGCTCGGGGAGGCTTCGGAAGGAAACGGTGCCTGTCGTGCGAATACGTGTATATCCTTGCCAAACTGTATTGTACCAGGGGAGCCGAAGGGGGTGGTCTTGTCGTGTCCGAGGAAAGAGAGAAACCTGACAGACTTTGGAGAAATTAGCCCGTATGAAGATCAGGTACGCTATACTACTGGTGTTTGACGAGAAAAAAAAAAGCAAACTTGGAGGACTTTTACGCTTCGCCTTAAAGACTATAGAGCGTGATCACGTGATCGAGCCCCGTTCTCATCGTCTTCTTCGGAAGAAACGTCTGTGCGCGTAACATTCTTTGAACTCGCCTAGAATGCACGCCTAGTGCAAGTATATACAGCTGAATTCTTCCCACTGCGCCATAATTAATAATTTCACAAATTAGCGAAGGGCCCACTACACATCCGCAAATCAACATGAACAGCTGTGCACTTTGTAAATGTCGCTGACGATGATTATCAAATATACCTGAGCTCTTTCTGAACACTCTCCAACAGCATTATAATAGGTCTACTTCGTTACACAATTCCCAAGGTGGTGCAATTTTACCCTTCTCTATAGCACAATATTGCGGTGATAACGGGACTCCTCGCTGTGCATGACGCATGTGTAATGAGATTTTTTCCCCCCAAGGAACCTTCAAATATCTGCATGGCTGTTTTTTGTAACACCTGAATGTCACGCAGAAGACCTGGGTTCGAATACCGCTCCAACCGGTGATTTGTATTCTTTATTCATTCATTTGCATCTGTCGCTAATTTTCCCTTACAACTAACGTTCCCGAAGCCAAGTGAAAAATTTTTGCGACACAGGCTTTTTAAAGTTATCACACAAAGATATGATAGTCACAATGATTGCACGAAAAAAAAATACAAATTAATACGCATCCGCGAAAGGTCCATTTGTGCCTCCAATTTTTGTGATGGTCACTGAAAATTGCAGAATGAACCTGGATACAACACTCATTCTTTACCATATCTTCTTAAGTACATTTTCCTTACTCGGCTGCTGACCCGCAGGTCGCCGGATCAAATCCCGGCTGCGGCGGCTGCATTTCCGATGGAGGCGGAAATGTTGTAGGCCCGTGTGCTCAGATTTGGGTGCACGTTAAAGAAACCCCAGGTGGTCGAAATTTCCGGAGCCCTCCACTACGGCGTCTCTCATAATCATATGGTGGTTTTGGGACGTTAAACCCCACATATCAATCAATCAATCAAGTACATTTTCCTGTAGCGCTTCTGCATTGGTCCGATCACCACGCTCCACAAATACGTTATCACAGGATCTACTGGTTGTGAGCATTGTCTTTGCGCTTTTACTTACGTAAACTCAAGATCCATGCAGAAAAGCGAGAAAGTCTAAGAAATAATGCGGGACATATAAATGTGGGATAAAAGAACTTTGAGAGAGGGCAATACTGCTTGGTTTGACCAAAGTTCAAAAAGTTGTGGTTTATATCACATCAATCCATTCATTGAAATTGAAATTACGCTAGCATTAGATAAAAGTATGAAAATACTTATTCACCGGTTGAGGCTATATGAGCCAAATACATAAAACATTTTTTTTTTTGTGCAGCATTGGCAGAGTTGAAATTCCCGAATGCGAATGTGGATTTAAAAATTAACACGTACGTCACCTTCTCATATAGACTGTCCACATCATGACACGCCGAGACGCCGTCTTAAATTGGAACAGTTGGCATTAGACCACAGACCGTTTAGTACCAAGAAACTTCTGGGCCCGTGGCCGACTGTAGCTTTAGAGACGCACGTTATAAAAGCGTTAGAACGTTTTTTACAAGACAGCTGAATTGCTGACAAGTGCTAAGAAATTACGAACTTTCATTCGTATAACGCATGTCGTACTTATTATGCGCAGTGTCATATGATGCCCATCATATGTGTTTGCTGAAGTGAATGGCGTGTAGACTGTTATGCACACACGAGCGAATACATCTTCATAAGGACCAGACGTGTGCTCTTCTGTTCTGTGCTGGTTGGATCGAATGTTAACCATGCAGGGACATTATCAGAGACTTCATTAGTTGACTTTCGAACATTTAATTATCATTGTGTTGGTGTTGTTTGATATGTGCGTATAAGTGTATGTTTGCATATGTGTGCCCGGGTGTTCAATTTTACATGCACTGATCTTTATGTTTTCAGCTTTGTTCTGATGTTTTCATGTGTTCAACTTTCACTCAAGGGCTAAGGAGTAGCTGGCGCCATACTTGTGCGCCAACATCTCCATATATATTGTATCAATAAAAAAAAGGCGCAAATTACAAAGACAGTGTTTAATAAGTGATGTCATGCAGTGATGGAACACATAGGTTTTAATAACGCAGCATTTCGCAGAACAAATTTCAGATGACATATAAATGGTTCGGGCAATTTATATCAGGCCGAAGCATTCTGATTATTCCAGCGAATGTGTGGTCATTACTGCCGTCACAGCACACTGATGGGTCGAGAGAGGGACGAGTTTGCCGCTATGTGGTAACTTTTAATCTTCTGCATAACTCAAACCGTGAAACATTATTAAATTTCGCTTGGTAGGTTTAAAGATGAAAAGTAGGTCGAAAACTTGCTGTGTAGAAATCAGACGCCTGCAGGTCCGTGTGAACCACCGTGTGAACTTATCCGGTAACGAGGCGCACTGCTCAGCTCGGGTTCGGTTCCCGGTGGCACGGCCGCACTTCGATGCGGGCGAAATGCGGGAAGAGCAGTAGCTTAGAATCAAGTGCAGACTGAAATTAATATAAAGCCTTCACTGCATCTCATAATCATGGCGTTTAGTATTGGTATGTAAAACCCATTAAAAATAAATTTATTAAAACCCAACAAATAACTAGTTATGCCTGCTTTGGGTAATAAAAGTCTAAACACGGTTATGATAAATAAATAGTATGCTCTTCTGCGCATTACCTTTGTCGGTTACGACCTTACCATCTCAACATTCAGGTGCTCTGACATTCGTTACAATGGTGCCCACCAGCGCGTCCCTATGTTAGAAAAAGTAATGAACATTGGACTCAGTGATTACTCAGAATTTGTAAAATGGAGTGCGTCACAAAAATGCAAGAGGTGACCAACATGGTGACCATACGTTTTTTTTTCTATTTTCTTTAAATGACGGACTTTAAAGGCCGTCCCTTAACATTCCAACCTTTGTTTTCGTGTGCGCGCTCCGTCTTATCTCTCTCCGATCTCGTTTTTGTATTTCTTGTATTCGGGCACTGCAGTAAGCCCATACGCATACCAGGCATTGGCCGTCAGAAGCTGCGCAAGCGAAGAGTATATACACAATGCACGCGTAGCCGCTTTATATAGACTACACCCGCACGCGTGTATGCGCACTGTTTCGCGGAAAATGTGGGGCTCGCCCGCCTCCCCGAAGTTCGCCTTCGTCTTCGCCAGCGTGTGGGCCCGAGGCCGGAATGCGATCCGCCGCTCGGTCAGGTGCGCTGTAGCTCCATCAGCCGCTGGGCGGAGAGCCCCGGCTCGGTTCCGCCCCGGTCGAAACAATCTCGCCGCTTCGTCATGGCCGCGTGTGCAGAGGTAACAATTAGCGCGGGTGTCGGCCGCCCGCGCGCTCTCCGTCGACGGCACCGCAGACATCAGCGGCGCACACTGTTATTCCGGGTCGGCTTTTAGGGCTGCCCGCTAATTAATGAATGGGGTGCGAGGGCGCCGCTATAGACCCAGAATTACGGCCCGCCAGGAACGGTGAAAGTTTGCGGAATCGGTGGAACACGAACTCTTGCGTAGACCATGTGCCGTCCTCGGAGGCTTGCATGCTCGGAGAGGGGTCGCACGATAGCCTGAGGGAGGGCTAGCAGCGAAACAACGCGGATCGCCGAAGTGAAGGAAATTGGGGAAGGGGGTGTGACTTTTTCGTGTTTTTTTTTTCCTCGCTTTCTCTCGCGGGCACCGGGTAAACACTTCGCTATTACGAGGTATTTGAGGTTTCTCACGGGAGCTGTAATAATAGTCGTCCCTTTATAATGAACAGTAATCTTGCGGTTAGCGACAAAACACACACATGTTCTGAGGGCACTGCGAAACCGCTTCTTACAGTTTCTTTTACATTTCCGTCTGGCAATGTTTTGATGAGCGAAGTTTGATGTGCACGGGAAGTTTTCGTGTTGTGTACATTGCCCATTATTAAAAGGATAGCTGTTTATGTGAGTAGATATCGACGTTTATGGATTACGATATCGATGAGAAGTTATTCAAAATTTACAAAAATATCTAACTTCTTTTGCTTGTATGCCATGATTCATAAACATCCATCCTCTCGGTTTGCGAATGTATACGTTTAATTCAAGAAACAGTTTTGAAGAAAAAGAACGCCTCTATCTCTATAATAAACCCTACTGTATCACATCATTCACCTGAAAGTTTGCGCTTGCGATGTATCTTCATATTTTCGTATGCCATGACTTTTGGACAAAAAAAAAATACGAGAAAGATGTTTGCCGTCATATTTCCTTTCGGCATTGGTAGACGAATACCACGATCACCCAGCTTAACATTATACTGGCAGTTTGTGCCCACCATTGCTGCAAGCTTCTCTCAGTCGACAACTTACCCGTCCCCGCTCTTCATCGTACTCGAGGCAGCCCACACCGTCAAGGCGGTCGAGGTCGATCCATCCTCGGTACCGGACGCAGACTCCGTTCATGATGAAGCTCGACTTGATATGCACCTGCGCGAGAACAAAAAAAAAGAAAAGCCGCACGTTGAGTTCTGGAGGGTTTGCCGAAACGCGAGTTCGGCGTGAAACTGACTCGGGAAGGGGGCGGTGCCTGCATTGGCCGCGCGTGTTCGAGCGGGCCAAGCTCGTCCACTGTCCACGCGGCCGCAAAACTGGAGGCGCGCCTGTCCGCGGCACCCATAAATCAATCGCCCGGGCCGATGCCTTTCTGCGGAATACGAGTTCGCTGGAAATTAGAACTGCCTCGGGACACTCCCCGGGCACCCTCTCGCCCGTGGCGGGCGGACCCGGCCTCGTTGATGAATGATGGCTGCCGGCCGAGTGTCTTGTGCGGGGCCCGGGCCCAGCGCAGGCGGCAATTTACGCGGTTTGCTCGCGCGCACTGCCGAGACGAGTGCATCGGCCCAGCTGAGGAAAAACGCAGAGAACCGCGGGAGCGTCGGCCATTCACCGGAAATGACGCTGCCCATTGTCGAAGGGGCGACGTGTGCGGACGCGATTACGGCGACGTCTCGGAGAGCGATGGGCGGCGCAGCGACGGGCGCTGGCGCCAACGAGCCATTTCCGCAGTTTGATGCCCTCCCACGCCATGTAAACTGCCCTGCTCTCGGACCGTGTGCTCGCAAACGGTAGCAGGGAGGAACGGGCGCCGAGAACAATGGGAAAGCGCCGGCTTCTGTATTCTCCGGGAAAGCCTCTTTTGCGAGGCAAGAGCGTCCGATGCTCCCTCGAGTTTGTTGTGCCTAAACAGCACTTGGCCCCCGCCGCCTGTCGTCCAAATGACGAAGAACGGCTCCAGAAAGTCACAAAAGACAACGAGAGAGACAAGGGACCGTCTTGTCTCCTTTTGTTCGGAGTTGATGTTCTGCAGTTCGACATGGACATCACTGCGCTCCCGTGCGCGTATATAAGCGTACTCCAGGGATCACCGTCTATAGCAGTGCTGCCATCCGACTGAGAACATACGTGATCGCGCTGACAAGATAAAAGAAAAGAGATCACGCACTCTGAAAACAATTGTTTTCGCCTTGCTGACGCTCTCTATCTCCTTTAGTGCTTGCGTAAAAAGAATAGGCAGCGAGTTCTGACCTGCACAGGCTATAACAGCTCTTTATTATAATGTCACATTTGGAACGTAACAGATCAGCTACTCATATAGATATGTTTCGTTTCAGACAGGGGAATTGAAAGCAATACAGGAAAAAAAAACCAAAGCAAGGCCGGCGAAAAACTGCGTTACCAAAGAGGCCACGGAAAATGCTGGAAAGGTGATGTGATCACTAGATCTATCGAACCAAAACCGTGCACTGGACGTCCCATATCAGTTCACTATAACACCACGTTCTAGTTTCCGCAGCTTAGTGCGAGCGTGAAGGGGCGGGGAACGAAATATGGCAAAACACACACTCGGAAAAGCACGCCGCCACGATCAAAGGTTACAGTCCAACCATCTGTGAGTTACTGCATGGTTACCGAGGAAAGTTGACATCAGAGTTACTACTATGCTGTAAATTATTATTCGTACACAATTTTACGCAGTTAAAGGTTGCTAACCGTACTATAAAATATAACATGGGCGCTTGTTGACGTGACGTAAATCGCGAAATATTTAAGTAATTCCGTTCAACGAGGTGTGCCGAGTAAATGCACCAGCAGCCTAAAATAAAGGTTAAAAAAAAAGAGTTCGCAAAAGCTGATGAACGTCCGAGAAACCAACTGCGCGCCGTCAGCCCCTCTACGCCCTGTGGAGTTCTCCAGGAACGTTAAATCATCTCAAATTTATAGTAAAAAACAGTTAGTACGAAATTCTATAAATTCAGTTGGCCCTCATCAGGTGTGTACTGCAAACGTGACAAGTCAGTGGCTGGTGAATTGATCGTACAAGCATGCGACGTAAGCTACATTCACATTTCCACAGCCGAATGAGACAAAAGATACGAACTTAACAACCAGCCAGAGCGTGTAATTAGATTCTGGTGTAAATGTGAAGACTGTGAGCTCTCGTGAGTCGTCTGCTAACCGAGCGTCATATTCGCGCCCTCAAGATGATTTCAAGTTTTTTTTTGTTTTCATTACGTTTAAAAGTCATGAAAGTTAGCACGACAATGTGCTTCGTGTAAAGCATTGATACAGCGTGAAGTGTGCATTGTTCGGGCTCCTGTTTAGGCACATCGTAATTCGTTGATATTGATTGATATATGGTGTTTAACGTCCCAAAACCACCATTTGATTATGGCAGATGCCGTAGTGGAGGGCTCCGGAAATTTCGACCAGCTGGGGTTCTTTAACGTGCACCCAAATCTGAACACACGGGCCTACAACATTTCTGTCTCCATCGGAAATGCAGCCGCCGCAGCCGGGATTCGAACCTGCGACCTGCGGGTCAGCAGCCAAGTACCTTAGCCACTATAGACCACCGCGGCGGGGCGCACATCGTAATTCGTGTTTAAAATCGTTGTCTTCATTAGAAATTCGTGGTTTGGTATATAATTATTACGAGGTAGAGTTAGCGGAGGTAAAAAAGCGTAATAACAACCTTTGTCGCATATATGATTAGACGCTGATTTTAGAGATTTCTGTAACCCATAAAAAAAACTCCTCACAAAAATTTATTGTCTGTCCATCTAAGAGCCCATTTGCTTCCCATTTAGATCATTTATAAACAAGTATGAAATTCACGAACGCATAAAGGTCCACAGCAGTGGAGCAGTGGCTAAGATGCTCGGTTGCAGACCCGGAGGTCACTGGTTCGATTCCGGCGGTCGCATTTCGGTAAGGCAGTACACGAACCTATAGAAGTCCGTGTGCGATGTCAGCGCACGCTAAATAACACCAGATTGCCAAAATTTCCGAAGTCATCCACTATCGCGTCTCTCATATGATGTCTTGGTTTTGGGACTTAAAATATCTGTTACTATTATTATGAACGCGTAATAGATAACGGCTCCTTCCTGCGCACAGTCAACATCGCCGGCAACATCAAGTGCGACCGTATACGTTGCGCAGCTGCCTTGCGTAATGTGAGACAGCTTTAGATGTCCTGCCTTGACCACTGCTTCTGGTCATGTTGCATATATGCGCTCTATACTATATTATGTCCACGAAGCTCACATGGAAAATACAATCATGTGGCAGCACCAGCGATGTTTATAAATCTCGCCAACTGACAGCGTCACTCTCTAATCATCACGCAAGTACATAAATAACTTCACTGTCATCATATAGCTAAATACAATGTATGTGTGTATAGAATATATACACTTCCCCACAGACAACACCAATTTCCTAAAAACCTTTACCTACACTTTGCGCACGCGCGCGCGTTTGTGTGTGTGTGTGTGTGTGTGTGTGTGTGTGTGTGTGTGTGTGTGTGTGTGTGTGTGTGTGTGTGTGTGTGTGTGTGTGCGTGCGTGTGTGCACGCGGGCTGATTATGTGTAACATTCAAGCAAGAAGAACTTCTGAGCTCATCGAGCGCTAAGTGAAAATTAATATATCGATCCATAGCGAGAAAAAGACGAGTACTGGTCCATTTGATTTTTTTTTCGATGTCAATAAAAAATGTCTGCAGGACGCATTTAATATCAAGTTTTCTGATAGAAACAGATTGGTTGGCTTGTGTGATACCCACGAATGAAGCTTTGTTTCGCATAACTTGTGTCTCGATAATGCGGGATTATGACGATGGTTGTATATGAGACGCATCGCACGTGCAACATTGGAACGAGCAGTTACGAAGAAAAAAAGAAGAAGAAAAACGGCTTGCTGTTTTTCTGGAGAAAAAGACGACGGGGAAAAAGTTCACTTAACACCAGTGCCCGTTTATTTCTCAGTAAGTAAGAAGGTGCTTTCCAGACTGCGCCACAAATTATGCAAAGACGCTTGGTTTCGCGAAAATACAAAGTCTTCACTCTTACATCAAAAATATTCCTCTCACCGGTTTTCACCTAATCCAAAGATCGACAGACCATTTGACGCACTGCACCGTCTACGATTAGGTGTCGCATATACACCTCACTTCTTACGCCGCATAAGAACAAGAACATCCCCGCACTGTGATCATGTCGATGCGTCAGGGCAGCATATCCTTATATAATGCCCGCAATATGATGAACAACGCGCCGAACAAAGTGATCGCTTGAACCGACTCGACAGATGATCATTTGCGATTTGAAAAGCACTTGGACCGTGGCCACATTCCGATAAACAAAGGCGTGTAGTGAGCGCCCTCCGTGATTTTTTAAAGGACACAAATTTAATTAACTGTCTTTAGTTCATATTATACCTTGCCACTATTTGTACGGACTCTTTCCGCAATGTGATCCAGATATATGAACTGGACTATGCCCATACATGATGTGCTCATTCATGAGTTATAAGCCCTATAGTGTGTAAGTATGTATAGTGCCTCTGATTAGTTTTTTCTGCATATTTCGTCTTTAATTCTGAAGTTTTAGTGTTTTTTGTGTTTATCTTGTACATTAGTGTCATGATGTTGGGTAGCTGGCTCTAACGTAGCGTATACGTTCCCATGTTTTGCCAAATATTAAATTAAAAAAAAAACACGACTGAGAAATCTGGTGAATGCTATGGAAAGCTGCAATATATTGTCGTCTATGTCACTCAATCAATAAAACCTATTGAAAAATTAATGGGAAAATCTTGCAACAGTTTGTTTGGATGATCAGCAACTTAAATAACGAACGCGAATGCATCAATAACTCTGTATAACACACACACAAAAAAAACAGGACTAGACGCTGCAGAACAATTTTGATCAACAGGCTGTGCACTTTTCTTGGAAGCTATTCAACCAGCCTATCTGGCTTGTACGATTCCGGTGAAGTTAGTCAGTATAGGCGCCCTAAAGCAGAAAAGAAAGCGAGAAAGGCTAGTCGGACACAAAGTGGTTTATGGATGTGATGAGACTTCGGGAGAAAAAGGAATCATGCTGGTAATGTATCCGCTTGTTTTCCTTCTTCACCGGCGGCTG